CAGTTATTCTACAATGCTGTTTGTGCTGGAAACTTCTCAATATCTAAATATCTACTATTGTGTTTTTGGGCTACACCCAAATGCATCAAAAATGCTTTTAAATGCTTTTGAATCTCTGTTGGTTGTAATCTATCTCATTAATCTAGGCATTAATCTAGGATACACTCATGAACTTTTTGCATTGTCAACATTCACTCATGTTTGAACACAAGTGAATTTGGCAAGTATCTAATAAAACTGTACATAAACTGTAAGTAACTTTATCTACTTTTGAAGTAAATGCTTGTGAAATTGTCCCTTTACAATTCAAATATTAGCACTGGCTGGAAATATTCTCTATTTTTGAAAGCATCTATGGTTGATGCATTTATCTATTCCTATTTTTACTCTATTTTGACTCCAAAGCTTAGTTGCAGCTTGAGCCAAGGCATATTTCTAGTTTGTGACTTCTGTCACTTTTAATGTCTCTAACATTATTCTGATTCTAATATTCTAGCTGCTCTATCAGAGATAACATTGTAGGGTACTATTTTAACTCTTACGTGGAAATGTGTTTATGAACAACAAAGAAAGGACAATTCTACTTTTTTACTACTATTTAACATCTACTAAAACGCTACAATACTCATACTTTATCATTTTCAAAGTTTTTGTCTGTCAGATGTCTGAATACTTAACATGTATATTGCATTTGGTCACAGTTGTGGTTCTGGTTGTAGCAATAGCATCGGCAATAGACGTTTTCATTGGCTGGTTCTTGTTCTGCAAATGGCTGTGTCCAATAGATCATCAGATGTCCAGAAGCTAGGGACAAACAAAAACAAAAGAAAGAATCATGAGTACCTCTCTCATTTAGCACTCATCAATGTATGATTTCAAAAATATAAACATCACTCCCCAGTTTTCTCTCTCAGGTCCTCAGGTCCTCAGGTCCCCTGAGGGTGAGTCTCAGTCGTCGTCAGGTCATAGAGAGATGTCATCTTGGACATCAGTAGGGTCCAAGCCATGGTTTGGTTTCTCCAGATGCACATCAGGATCTCCAGATACAGTCTTTTCACTTGAAGCACATCAGGTCATTTGCGATGCACTTCTGGTCAATGGTGCAGTGTCTCAGTTCCTGTACACAGCTTGTTATGCAGTAGTTACTCTCTATGGTTAAGTCACTTTGATTCTAATCCTAATCAATGTAATTACATCACACAGTACAAAATCAACAAATCAAAAGTGTCAGGACAGAGTTCAATTAAGTCCATGACAATATAGAATTCAAATGAACATTTCTGGTCTCAAAAAATACTGATTCAACTAAAGATTCAAGTGATAGACAATTAAAAATGTGTTTACATTGGAGTAAGCTTTTAAAATGCTTTTTCTCATGTTCTGCTTTTTCATGTATCTATATGTAAATGTGAATGTGTGAGTGTATGAATGTGTGTGGGTGTGTGTGTGTGTGTGTATGTGTGTGTGTATGTAGGGTGTGAATTTTGGGGTTGTGTCTCCAGACTCCTTGAACCACCTGCAGGTGTCAAAGGTCACACTTGGCTCGATGTCAACAAGCAAAGTGGGCACACTTCCAGATTGCAAAACAACTCACCCACCACTGCCTACAAAAAACCTCACTTTGTGGCCCCGGTCTCACTGCCACCTACGACCATCGGTCTGTAGTGGGGGAGGGGCACACGGAGGTAGCTATGTCGCCTTTACGATCTGCGGCTGGTTGGATGGTGTCTACTCTGGGCCACTGTTCTGATCCCTCAGTGTCCACTCCAGCAGTCCAGTGACCCTGTACAGTGTGTGCCCTTGGTTCTGGAAAACAACCTTATAGTCAAATTAAAAACAACACATATGTGAATGAGATTGTTTTTCTCTCTAAAGTCAAAACAATTTTGGAGCGCTCTTGGCTTTCCAAGCGCTATGTAAATAAAGATTACTTATTATCTTACTAATGATGACACTTTTAAGACCAGAAAATCTCTTAATAAAAAAAAACAAGACTCAAATCTAAAAAAAACTTCAAACTTTAAAATGTGTACTACGTACTTTTGTATTGTGTGTTTAATTATCTTGAACATTTATCTCAGCATATATTCTACTAATTTAAAATAATTGCAGCATTTTTCAAATGAAGTCAATATGAATTGGAGCACATTTTAGAGCCAGGCTCCTGTGCTGTGTGCAAGCAAGGTCAGGCGTGTAGTCAAAACAAAAACAAAAGTCGCCACTTGCAAGGTGAATTGGGTAGAGTTTAACTTAATAATATAATACTTTTACAGCTAATCCTAATTCCCTCTTTCTTTTTAGACGAAGTCTATAATCAATAATCACTTTTAACACAGATTCTAATTTAAATGTTTGAAAAACGGCTTTTGTAACTAAAATAAAAGCATAAAAACAAACACAACTCACAAAAAGTTAAGAAATAAGCAGCAGATTTAAAAGAATGGAATCTAGATATATGTTAGGTCTAAAAAGAATTGCACAGCTTTAGCACGAATCTTTGGGTTTCAAAAACATACTAATTCAAAACTTCTATTCCCTAATGGTGTTTAAAAACGTTTAACTGTGTCATAACACAATGTTCAATTGCAAATTTTGCAAATTTAACGGAATAACAACTATGAAAAGCCAGAAATCCTAAAGCAGTAGCTTTGTTCTGATTCAGAGCCAGAGCAGCAAAGGAGGGGGCCGTTTCCCCTGACAACGGCAGCAAGATAGAGCGACACACACAGGCAGAAAGTAGTGTTTTAGCAAAAATGCAAAAACAGAAAGAATAACTTTCAAGATTACTTTGTTAAGCGAATATAACTGATGTTGTTCTTTATACTTTTGTCATCCAAGTCTAGAAGTGATCACTTTCCACACTTGTAACAAAAGGCACTCTTACTTTAACGTACGCTTCTATTTTATCGAGGTAGCAAACTAGTTTAAACTCAAAATCTCTTTCTAAAAAACAAAAACTGTTGGATACAACCCTCTCATAGCTTAACTGTAGATAAAACTCGCCAAAAAATGTAAATAACTCACGAAAGCTCTCATAGCTCAACTTTAGATAAAACTCTGCATTCTCCGGTGAACTCTGTTCACTCCAAAAACAAAAACTCCCTTTTTCTGTATGTAATTTAAACCGTGATCACTGAAATATTGTTGCTTCTTTACTTTTGTCATTTATCAGCCTGAAATTCGTCAATTTCAAAGCTTTTGTAACAAAGGCCTCCTTAACACGTTTCCCTTTTTATTGCTTTTCTGTTTACACCATGGTTTCACTTTTGGATCCAACACTTTTCTCTGGCTAGCAAGGGGCCTCTACCCCGGTAATTACTCTAAAAAGGGCCTCTACCCTGTAATTACTCTTTCTCTGCCCTGACTACTTCAAAGGACAGGGACCCCGATACGTCAAGGGGTTCCTTTTTCCTATAGGGACTGGTTACCCACACAGCTAACCTGTTTTCTACAACATAAGACATGACAAAGACGTGACAAAGACATAACAAAGAAAATTTGATTTAGAGAGATTTGGACAGACCTCCGGGATAGCTCAAAATTTAGCTAGTATCCAATTATGCAGACTTTACATATTAAAAAAGGTGTCTGCTTACCTTATTTTCTTTGTCCGGACTGTTCGAGAGGTCGACCAACATCTTTTCCGCGTCGAAAAATTCAATTTAAAAAACGAAAGTGACAGCCTGCTGGAATCTCCGCTCCCAGACGCAGCATGCCGGTCTCTCACGCCGAGGAAAAGAAACAAAGCAAACTCCCTCAAAACAATCCAGAGAATGGCACACACTGAGCCGCGCATTCTCCACCAAATCTGTTAGGATTCAGCAGAGAGAGACGGATCGTGGTGTGCCAAACTCTGGAAGTTTATTTAAGTTTCTCTCAAGTTCCAGTGGTTTACTTTGTTTCTTTATCCCAGACAAAATAAAGACAGTACACAGTTTAGTCATTGTCACGTCACACATGGAAAGACATACGTGTCACAAAGAGACAGTCAAATCATAGAGTCCTTGTACAGTCCTGCACGTAGGCCATATTGCTATCTAATACTAACAATATTTTAGCCATTTCATTTTTAATAGTGTTTAGAAAATTGCGATGCTGCGCAGCAGGCAACGTATAAACTTGCGGTGACAAACGCGTTGCGCAAGTGACGTCACGTCCCCTCCGTAAGCTCTGCTCCGCGCGAGTATACACTAGGCTCCGTGTAAACAGCACAGCCAAAGACATCAAATAAGACACATTTTAATCTCGCAAGATAAATGGTCACATTGGCATAAATAGAATCAAAATAAAATATATCTGGCACAGTAGGGACTATATTATGTACAATAGAAATCTGACTATAGCAGTGAGTTTTTTTGGTCCTAGTGCAGGTCATTAAAATGAAGTGTTGCCCATGATGGAGTTGACTGACTGGGGTAGGTGCCAGAGTCCAGGAGCCTCCTGTTCCTCACCTCCTCCAGAGTCCAGGGGGCAGCCCAGAGCGGAGCTGGCCTTCCTGACCAGCTTGTTGAGTCTAAGCCAATTCCGCTGCCCAGCACACGACAGTGTAGTGTATGGCAGAAGCTACCAGTCATGAAATGTCCTGAGCAGAGGCCTCAGAAGGTGGAAGCGACTTTGGCCCTCCTTGTACAGGGGCGTTGGTATTATGGGACCAGTCCAGTTTTTTAATGTGGACACCCAGGTACTTGAATCCGTCAACCAGCTCCATGTCCTCCCCCGGATGTTCAGCAGTTTTCTCCTGAAGTCGATTACCATCTCCTTGGTCTTACTGGTGTTCAAGCACAAGTGGTTGCACTCACATCAGTTGACGAAGTCCGTGATAACCGACCGATATTCTAGTTCGTTCCACTCAGACACACAGTCCACAATGGGAGTTGGAGAACTTCTGCAGGTGGAAGCTGTGTGTGTCATATGTGAAGTGAAACGGTGAGAGAATGGTGCATGTGAAACCAGTGACACAGGAAACTGTTAGAGCCAGCATTAAAGTAAAGTTTATTTGTTCAGATTTTGTTGAAGGCGGCGACATCGACCGACTGCACCAGGTCCTCGAAGGCTGTGATGTGCTCCTCCAGGAGGTCTGTGCCCACCTGCAACACAACACAGTTACACACAACACACTCCAGGATGTGTGCCCACCTGCAGCACAACACATGACACACACCTTGTCGTCCTCCACCACACAGTTGATCTGCAGTTTCTTGATGCCGTATCCTACTGGAACCAGTTTAGCTGAAAACAAAGCTCAAAGTCAGGGGTCAGAGGCCACAGGGGTCAGAGGTCAGATCTGAAGGAGACATCAGGGGCTTCAGCCGAAAGATGGTGAGTGATCATCACTCCTCTGGTCCCCAAACCTGGTTCCTCTGATCTCACCTTGTCCCCACACCAGTCCATCCATCTGCAGACTCCTCACACACTCCTCCATCTTCTTCATGTCAGTCTCGTCGTCCCAGGGCTTCACGTCCAATAAGATTGAAGACTTTGCGATGAGGGCGGGCTCTGTGGAGAGACTGACCAATCAGCACTAATCACACATGACCTGAACTAGGGATGCAACGATATGAAAATGTTGGCCGATACACATTTCTGTTATGGCCAATAGTTTTTTTTTAATTTAATTTAATCCGAGATGATAAAAGTTTGTACAAACTGAAATAAAATGCATTCTGAAAACAAGAAATTCAGTTAGAACGGGCAATGCGTGGAAACGCACACAGGAGCTTTTTGTGATACGCTGAAGAAATGTGTTCCAACAATCATTCTTACCACTCCTATTTTGGACATCAATTGCTTATATTTGTTTTTCTGATCTCAAATGTCCAAATATATATTTTTTTTAATTCATTCAATATTAGCACGGCTATCATGAATGGGAGACAGACAAACTGATAAAATAATTCCTTGTGTTTGCTGCTGGATCTGGTGTGTATCTGGCAACCTGAGTCAGGGAGAGGACTACAAAATATTGACTGACTGCAGTACCACTTTTTGGCCAGATTTTTTTACATACTGCTCCTTTAACTCAGTCACCGCCATCTATAGACGTCAATCGTTTTTTTTTTCGTTTTTTTCTTTCTATGCCTCGGCAAGGCTCTTGTGCATCCTGTGTCAACATTTCAGACCTGTAAACACTTTGGAACCGATCCTGTAGGGGGCAGAGGTGACACTGTGGCCAGATCCAGGGAGGGAGAAGGGGGCATGTGGTGCTGTGAGCAGCAAACAGCCAGAGGAGCAGCCATGCTTACACAAAGGACCGCGGATCTGAGAAGCTCACGCAGCTACCGCTGCTCATAAATATGAAGCAGCTAGATGCCACGATGCTAGTTCTTCAGGTTTTAGTTAACATGAGGCTCCAGGATCCTCGGAGCCTTCCCCCTCCCTCCTCGTCCAGCAGCAGCAGCAGCGGCTCCTCCCCCCGTCGTAATGTGGTAAGTTGCTTTTCACTTCAACATGTTGCATTTACGAGTTTATTTCTCCTCTTTGTCTAATGTACTATCAGCCCCTCCAGGATTTGCGCGCAATTATTGATTGATGAATGATTATTGCGGGGTAAAATGCTTGATTACGCGGGACATTTTTCCAAAACTTTCCCTGTTGAGTTTGGAGGCGTGCGAGTCTGGCATGCAGCATTAGCTGCCAGGGAGCTATGGATGATGATACCGTGTGGTTTATAGAAGGGACAGGGGAAGGTGACCCATGATGAGCAACAAGTGTTATAGATTTACCGCACCATGTGCATTCTGCTGTGGTGAGTCTCACTGTGGAGGGTGCGTCAGGAGCGCGCCCGCTGCTGCTTTGGAACAGGGAGAGACTGACTCTGCTGCTCTGATCCCGGAGTCTGCGTGATTTTGCGTTCAAACATTGAGAGATTCTGGAGGGAGTGACTATAGCAATCACTGGCTTATACTATAGTAAAAATAAACAAAGTAACATTTTTAGCGAATATTGAAGAGTTTTTTTTTTTATCTCAATGTCATAGCTGCTGAAGCCAAAACACTTGTTATAATGTGAAAATGTATGGTGATTTTATATTTTTCTGTGTGTTGTAGATTGTTGACCCCAGGACCCCAAAATGCTGCAGCAGAGCTTGATTTGGATCAGCAGCTGACTTCTGCAGCTCTTCATAACTAATGAACTGCTGGATCCTGGATCTTATTGTCAATCAGACAAAGCTGTATGCAGCACAATATTTCAGTGCACACACACAGCGTCTCCCATTCAGAAGAGAAAATGCATGGAACCCAGTGACAGTCTAGCAGCTAAAAACTTTTTTGGTTTGACATTTCTCACTGGGCTGGAAATTTATTGGGAGTGCAGATGAAGTAGCTTCCACCCCACACTTCAGCAGAGTGTGGGGTCACCTAATTACTATTCTTTATAAACTAAAGTAAAATTGTTTCACAAAGTGTTCAAAGAAAGTGTTATTTTTTACTGTATATATTTGTATACAAAGTGTTTTTATTGTATACAAGTTGAATATTTTATGTGTACATAAGACAATCCTTTGAGTGTATTGTGTGTACACGTTTAATTTGTTTAAAAATATTATATATTAAAAATACAATTCAAAGTATTGTTTCTGTTTTGTGTCATAGTAAGAAACTGTCATACATTGTAAAATATCAGTAAAGACAAAAAAAACACTTCTGTTTCAAAATGCGCGTTTCACAAAAAGGCTGTTTTCTCCAAATCTTGGTCAGGAAACAGCATTTTTTGTTAAAGTTACCTATGTTGCACTCTCAATTGCTAAAAAACTAAAAGGGTTAGAAAAAAAAAAGAAAGAAAGCCAAGGGATAGAGCTTTCATTTGGTATGTTTCATACTTTTGTCAACCAAGGGCTCACATTTCTATGCGGTTCGGAAAAACACTAAAAATGTCCAAAATCTCTGGCAGTATGAGGGATGCTGCTTTTTAAATGGCTGGCAGTGAATGAGTTAATGGGGAGATTTATTTCCTTTTCCTCAAAAGGCGAAACACTGCAACCCGGCAATACACATGGGCTGTGGTTATCGGCCCGATGCCGATACATGTCGTGCATCTCTATTCTGAACCATAGACTGCAAATATAGTCACGCCCATCTCCGCCGTTGGGCGTGTCCGCCGGGACAAAAATTGTGCTGTACTGGAGCTATCCAAAATGGCTGTGAGTGGTCCTGCCCGCAATTTTCATTAAACAAGTGCCTTCAAAAATTCACAGCAACTAAACTAGTCCAAAAAAATTCACTCCCTCAGCATTGACACATGCCCCCATCGGCCCAGGGTGGTATTGCAAGCATGTCAGCGCACGTCATTTTGGCCACTTTTGAGCCGGGACCCGCCCCCCGCTGGTCTGAACCAATCACGACAGAGCAGAGATTACAGTCGTAAATCCATTTCCAGATAAATTATTTTTCCCCCCCCTGCAATACAATAGATTATTCAGCCGCAATTATCAATACAAGTCCCATTCAAACCCCCCGCGGTACTACACAACAGCCAGAATAATTCTCAGAAAGGTGTCCATGCGACTCCTGAAGCACTGAAACCAACTCGCTAAAATTTACTTTTTTCCCTTTCATTAATAATGTATGTTGGCTGTGCCCAGAAGTAAAATGTGGACAAATCAAACCTGTCATCTGTTTTTTTGCAGTTAACCTTTTTTGCTTTTTTAGCAGTGTGTGGGAAAAAAAAAGTTAAATATCCAGAACATGCCAATGCTAGGGCTGGCCGACGAAATAACTATATATACACACACCATGGTAGACAACTGGAAGAAAACAGTAAAGTGGCGTCAGAAGTACGCTGCATTCTGGAGGCTTCTCGACCCATTACAGCCGAGCATGAACCGCTAATGAGCAAGTGGGCGCGGCGACTATGCATGCTGCAAAAGCAAGAGATGAACTTTTTCCTCGGGACGCACATGCGGCTAACAACGGGGGACACTACTTAAGCTTAGTTAAGCTAAGTGGAGCTAGCCTCTCATGACAACACCAGATGCTGCCGCAGCTGAGAGAGGCATCGAGGGAAGACCGAGGTAAGTCAACTTTCATGTTATGGTGTAAAGCGCACGTTGTGAAAGTGAAATGTTGATTATGATAAGAGGGGTTTTCCCACTGCCAAGCGCTTAAAAACTCAATGTTGCCGCCAGTCGCACAGTTAGCTTTTCATTTGTTAACGCAGTGATGAAGCAGAAAGGTTTATTAGTTCCTAATACATGTCTTATGAATGTTTTACTTAATTTGACATTCACTACAATCCTAGTGCCAACAGGTATTATACTACTCCATGACAGTTATTAGAACTCCGCAAATAGGTCTGTGTGAACACTGTGGACCAAGATCCATCAGCAGTTAGAGCTGTAGGAATAAGGAGCACACGGTACAAGAGATGTGAACAATAACGATGTACTAAAATTAAATAAAAGCTCTAACTTTTAATAGAAAAACAAGTATAAAATGCTTAAGTGTAGTATTGTATAGTGCAGAAATGTATAGTCAGACACATGTGGTTCTATATTACATATTATTGCAGAGATGCACGACATGTGAGGGCTGCTGTATTTGTCTAATGTAGGACTTATTGAATCTGGAAGTGGTGTGTGATTGACATTTAGGCTGAGTTTACACGGACACCGTGGCAGTAAAACGGTATAGTTGGATGTCGGTTGCTACCAACCGTTCATACGAAGACTGTTCCAGGGGGGTGAAAACGTAAGTGTTCAGATCGAGCCTGCAGAGTGGGACAACTCAGAAACGCTGCACAGCGAGGAGCTCTTTCACACCCGCGAGAGGGGAAAAGGTGTGAAATCCCCCTCTGCTCTGACCCCCAACCTCCGCGCTTCTCCCCGCACGTAAATTTGGACATGCGCAGTAGCAGAGGACAAACAACAATGGCACAGCGCGCACTAACTAGCTTCGTGGGCTTCCAGCGCGGCACAGAGGATAATTCTACTCCTTCGTTCTTCCAAACGAGACCATGCGAAGCTCTAGGTTCAGTTCCCATTTTCACAGCTGCTGTTAAAATGCAGAATGATGTTGGTGCGTTCTGAGGGTCTGGCACAGGAAGTGAGTACACTGGGGGGCTGGGCACGGGGCTGGGGGTCGTGTTGTAAAGTTTCTCTGCCCACTACTGGCCGGGCGCTAGAACTACATGGTTTTTCAACCTCATGTGAACGCTGAGAAATTTGCATTAGGAGCCAGGTCGTTTCTTTTAATAGCCTGGAAACGTCTGCGCAGCGTCTCAGTATAAACAGGGCCTTAACGTCTGCTTTTCCCCGTCTTTCAGTAAACCATCACAGCCGGTCTAGGACCAGTTCCTGCTCCCAGCACCAGCAGCTATTCTGACAGAGAGCGTTTTAAATAAGCTGCTCAGAGACATTTGCCTCATTCTGTTCGATCTGGAAGGACTCGAAAATCAACCGTGGCACAGGTGCAATCGCCGCTGCCTTGTCTTCTTTTGATAAAAATTCAATAAACTGTATACAATTTAAAAACAGTTGTCATTAAATGGTTCATTTGATATTGTATATTTTCAATTCGCCAAAAAACTATTTGTCTCGATTACTCTATTCGATAGAATAATCAATTACCGAACTATTTCGATAGCTGCAGCTCAAATTGAGATAACACTATAGGTTGCATTTCTAAAATGATTAAAAAGATAGTTAAGGCAATGTTTTCTCTTCAGTAATATTAGCATCTCAGCATTTGCAGGGGTTAGTATTTATTACGTTTATCATTCTGAATAGTCCCGCTGCGCTAAACAGCCGCTCAGTGTCTGCACTTGTGCATGGAGCGCAGAGGAAAGCTTACGCTGCTTTGGCCAAAGCGCCTTTTATTTTCCTTTAACGTGCGTGCATTTTTCGTGTTGGTTTCTTAGCCCAGCAGTATGGTGGTTGTTGGCCGCTGCGAATCGCCCATCCGTTTGCTGCATGAGTTGCTGGGTTAACCGGCAAGTTTGACAAAATAGAGTTCTTGTGGTGCGCATTGAATCCTCTGTCATCTGATCAGGTCTTTTCACCGTTCACAAAAGCAATGAAGCCGTGACTCCTCTAGTTTTCAGCCATAGCCAATGCTGCCAGTTTTTATACTCCCATTGGTATTTTCAATGGTTGAAAAAGGTTGTAAGCAACAGCTTTGTTTAATCGCTTTTTAATTCCAACATTGTAAGAGACCCTGTCCGGCAGTGATTGTTGTGTCGGTTTAAATGTTAGTCACGTATGTATATTCCTGGAAATATAGGAAAGTTTGAAAATTATATACATGGTTGGCGTGTATATTGTGTGATAGACATCGTATTGGTGGCGATATGGTGGTATATTATAGTTGATTGATGATGGTCTTACGGTTGGATTTCTGTGGCTGCGGAGGCGGCGCCCGGACGCTCGTCTTTGAGACGCGTTCTCCTCCCTCGTCCTGAAACAAGAGACGGGAGTGTGACACACAAAGACAGAGTCAGAGAGCGGGATCAGTGCCTGCAGGTTACCTCGCATCAGACCCCCGAACAATCCAAATCATCGTCGGCTGCGTCCCGCATTGGCGGGTGAGGAGCTTTAGGAGTGTGTTTGTGGGCTGTCGGCACGCCCACGGGTTCCATACGGCCATGAGGCTGCTGCACTCCAGGAAGACTGGACCAGTACTAGAAAACCAGTTAGAACCAGACTGAGCCAACCAGGCCCATGATACAGATGAGGAATCAAGCTGATTGGAGGCATCATGAGAACTTCAGCCAAATGATGGGTGAGTGAGCCAGGTCCTCTGGTGTCATAGAGAATAGATTTATAGAGTGTCATCACCTGGGCTTGTCGCTGTACTGCTGTTATGTGTTGTACTGCGCAGGGCGTGGCTGAGGTCCAGCAGGGGGCGCTGCAGACTGAGCTTCAAACACACACACATCAGACTGAACGGGACGTACCGAGAGGACAGAGGAAACGGGTGAGACTAGAGAGGGACAGAGAGTCCCAGACCTGGGCTTAGTGTCAATGAGGTCAATCTGAAAAGAGTGGCATCATCTAAACAATCAGCCGAAAGTTGGTGTGGGAAAACTCATCTTGTCCTCCAGGGTCACAGCAAGACCAGGTCTGGGGGTGGTAACTCATAGAACACCCTCACTCAGCCAATAAGTACTCATCCCAAAGAGGCAGATACGACTCTCAGCGCCCTCTAAACCACAAATATTATACTTTATAACTCTGGTCAAAGCTGGTTTCAAAGAGTCTCTATGTTACGTACCCGTGCTTTAACTCGTGAGCAGAGTCCGGACAGAACACATAATGTGCGGCGGCTCTTGCAGTGTAAACACTGGCTTTATAAAACGTTTTTAGCTGCAGAAAAAACCCGGACTTGAGCCGTGTGGCGACTAGTACTACGACTATTATTACTACTGCTATCTACTTACAGGGGGAGTACGACTAAGCTTGGTGAGATTAAACAGAACCTAGTGGTACTCTCTACCTCTCCGATTGTAGGCTCTTGTCTGACAGAAACGCTTTGAGGACTTGAGTCCTGAGGCGGATCTGAGGTCCCCGAAGCCCAATGGGTCTGCTCTGCTCTGGTCTGAGGGATGAGGGGGTGGATGCGGGGGTATGGTCTGTCCGGGTCTGGTCCGCGGTGGAAAGAGGAGGAGTCACCGGTAGCAGAGAGCGGATAGTAGGCCGCAGTTAGGCCCCGGTCGCTTCTTCTACTTCTTCCTGGACATTCCACCAGTCTGGGGCCATCGGCGCATTGCTGGCTTTCACTGGTGATACAATTTCTGCAACTAACAGCTCCACGGTTCATTCTTTGGTATCAGCCGATATAACATGCAAAAAATCATATTCCACCAGTGCACGAAACTCTCTATTGCTGCTTGGCACTTGGGGCCAAACAAGGATCTCCATAGTCACATCACCCGGATGCTGGAGGCCCAGAGGCTGAAACACGTCTAGTCCCTGTGTAGAACACGAGACAAAAGCATGATATCTCTGGGACGCATATTGCAGGGTAGGAGAAACGTTTTCACTGTCTCTTGCCAACTAAATACGCGCACCACAGGCCAGCTCGGTGCTTCCCGAGCCGATATCAGACTTTGAGCAAGCCCCACAGTGACCCAGTCTTAGTCTGGTTATTCATAACCTGCTCCGGTCGTGTTTGTTCTCCAGGGTGTGGCTTTATCCCCCCCGCCTATTACTCAGCTGGATGCTGAGTAAAATAGGGCCGTCCTCTTGTGTCCCGGTCCCCATGCCGCTGCTAACTGCGCACACACTCTCCATTTTTAACCAATCAGAGGGCCGCATGTGTGTTAGAGGTGTGTGTAAGAGTTTTGTGTTAAGTGGGGGTTAGAGTGTGTGGTAGAGTGTTTGTGTTAGAGTGGAGTTGTTAGAGTGTGTGTAGAGTGTGTTAGAGTTGTGTTAGAAGTGAGTGTTAAGTTTGTGGTAGAGGTGGTGTTAGAGTGGTGTTAGAGGTGTGTGTGTAGAGGTTGGGTGTAGAGTGTGTTAGAGTTGGTGTTAGAGTGTGTGTTTAAGTTTGTGTTAGAGTTTGTGTTAGAGTTTGTGTGAGGTTTGCGTTAAGTTTTGTTAAGTGGTGTTGAGAGTTTGGTTAGAGTTTGTGTTAAGTGTTGTTTAGAGTTGTGTTTAGAGTTGGTGTTAAGTTTGTGTTGTGAGTGTGTGGTTAGTTTGTGTTTAGAGTTTGTGTTAGCAGTGTGGTTAGAATGTGTGGTAAGTTTGTGGGAAGGAGTTGGGGTTAGAGGTGGGGGTTTAAAGTTTGTGTTAGAGTTGTGTTAGAGTTGGGGTTAGAGTGTGTGTTAGAGTTTGTGTTAGCAGTTGTGTTGTTAGAGTGTGTGTGTAGAGTTGTGTGTTTAGAGTTTGTGTTAAGTTTGTGTAGAGTGTGTGTTAGAGCTTGTGTTAGAGTGGTGTGTAGAGTTTTGTGTTAGAGGTTGTGTTAGAGTGTGTGTAGAGTTTGGGTTGAGTGGTGTGTTTAGAGGTGTGTTAGAGGGTTGGTTAGAAGTTTTTGGTGAAGTTTGTGGGGTAAGTTGGTTGGTAGGAGGTTGGTGTTAGAGTGTGTTTAGAGTGTTGTGTTAGAGTGTGTGGGTTAGAGGGTTGGGTGGTTTGAGTGTGTTAGAGTGAGGGTTAAGTTGTTTAGAGTGTGTGTTAGAGTTTGTGTTAGAGTGTGTTAAGTTTTGTGGTGGTTAGAGTGTTGGTTAGAGGTTGGGTGTTCAGAGTGTGTGTTTAGAGTTTTGTGTTAGAGTGTGAGTTAAGAGTGGTGTTTAAGAATGTGTGTTAGAGTTTGTGTTAGAGTGAAGTGGTAGAGTGAGTGTTAGAGTGTGTGTTAAGTTTGTGTTAGAAGTTTGTGTTAGAGTTTTGTTAGAGTTTGTGGTTTAGAGTGGGGGGTTCGAGTTTGTGGGTTAGAGTTTGTGTAAGTGTGTGTTAAGTTTTGTTAGAGTTTGTGGTTAGAGTTTGGTGGTAGAGTTGTGTTAGATTGTGTTAGAGTTTGTTAGGGTGGTGTGGTTAGAATGTTGTTACGAGTTTGTGTTTAGAGTTTGTGTTAGAGTGTGTTTAGAGTTTGTGTCGAGTTTGTGTTAGAGTTTGTGTTAGAGTGTGTGTTAAGTTTGTGTTAGAGTGTGTGTTAGAGTTTGTGTTAGAGTTTGTGGCTAGATGTGGGTTTAGAGTTTGGGTTAGAGTTTGTGTTAGAGTTTGTGTTAAGGAGTGGTGTTTTTAGTTTTGTTAGAGTTTGTTAGAGTGTGGGTTAAATGGTGGTTAAGTTGGTGTGTTGAGTGGGTTAGAGTGTGTGGTCAGTTTGTGTTAGAGTTTGTTTAGAGTGTGTGTTAGAGTGTGTGTTAGAGTTTGTGTTGAAGTGGTGTGTTAGAGTTTGTGTTAGGTTTGTGTTAGAAGTGTGTGTTAGAGTTTTAGGGTTGAGAGTGGTGTTAGAGTTTTCAGTTTAGAGTGTGTGTTAGAGTGTGGTAGAGTGTGTGTTAGAGAGTTGTGTTTTAATGTGTGTTGTAGAGTTTGGTTAGTAGTGGGTTTAGGGTTTGGTGTTAGAGTGTTGTTAGAGTTGTGTTAGAGTTTGTGTTAGAGTGTGTGTTAGAGTTTGTGATTAGAGGGGTGGGTTAGAGTGTTGTTAGAGTGTGTGTTAGAGTTTGTGTTAGAGTTGTGTTATAGTGTGGGTTTATTGGTGTTAGAGTGTGTGTTAAGTTTGTGTTTAGAGGGTGGTGTTAGAGTTTTGTTAGAGTTTGTGTTAGAGATGTGTTTAAGTTTGTGTTTAGAGTTGTGTTAGAGTTGGGGGGGGTTGAGATGTTGGTAGAGTTTTTGTGTTTAAGTGTGGGGTTTAGAGTTTGTGTGAGAGTGTGTGTTAGAGTTGTGTAGAGTGTGTGTTAGAGTGTGTGTTAGAATGTGTGTAGAGTTTTTGTGTTAAGTGTGTGTTAGAGTGTGTGTTAGAGTGTGTGTTAGAGTTTGCGTGTTTTAGAGTTTGTGTTAGAGTTTTGTTTAGAGTTTGTGTTAGCGTATGGTTAGAGAGGTGTGTGTTAGAGTTTGTGTTAGAGTTGATTAGGATGGTGTGTTAAGTGTGGTAGTTTTTGTGTTTAAGAGTGTGTGTTAGATGTTGTGTTATAGTTTGTGTTAGTTTGGTTGTTAGAGTGTGTGTTAGAGTTTGTGTTAGAGTTTTGTGTTTAGAGTTTGTTGTTAGAGTGTGTGGTAGGAGTTTGTGTTAGAGTGTGGTGTTTAGAGTGTGTGTTAGAGTTTGTGTAGATTGTGTTAGAGTGTGTGTTAGAGTTTTGTTAGAGTGTGTTGTTAGAGTTTGTGTAGATGTGGGTGTTAGAGTTTGTGTTAAGTGTGTGTTAGAGTTTGAGTTAGAAGTGTGTGTGTTAGAGTTTTTGTGTTTAGAGGTTGTGTTAGAGTGTGTTTAAGCGTTTGTGTATTAAGAGTGTGTGTTTTAGCGTGAGTGTTATAGTGTGTGTTTCCGAGTTTGGTAGTACGCGTTGTGTTACGGCGTAGTGTTAGAGTTTGTGTTAGAAAGTGTGTGTTAGAGTTTGTGTTAGAGATGTGTGTTTATAGTTGTGTTAGAGTTTGTGTTAGAGTGAGTAGGTCGAGGTTTGGTGGTAGAAGTGTGTGTTAGAGTTTGTGTTAGAGTGTTAGTGTTAGAGTTTGTGTTCGAGTGAGGGATAGAGTTTGTGGTTTAAGTGTGTGTTAAGTTTGTGTTAGAGTTTTGTGTTAGAGTTTGTGTGGATGAAGAAGGCGTCAGAATGTGCAGCTGCGTTTGGGAGAATCCAAAACAATGGTTTTGAAACGATGGAGGCTCACCGACAAGCTGTTCAATAAGTGACAACAGTTGTTTTGGAAAGTTATACTCACAATTTATTGTTTTGGAGATTTCTCCTGAGCCCCATTTCCACAGCCCTAATACTGCTACTCTACACTACCTACTCTACCTCTAACTCTACTCAAACTCTACTCTACTCTACTCTCTACCTACTCCACTCTAGAACAGTGGCTCCTTGAGGGTATACAGATTGAGTCGTCAGTGGTGAGATTTAATCTAAAATCTGCTCAAGAGCAATTTATTTGTCTAATAACTTCAGAGTAACCGCATGGAGCTGACCCCTGTTTCATCAGCCCACGCAAAATG